ATATCATATATAAAAAACCGAGAAGAAAGAAAACAGAACTGTAGCAAACACACACAAACACACACATACATACACACACACACACACATACACACATACACACATACACACATACACACACACACACACACACACACACACACACACACACACACACACACAAACAAACCGCACATCTGCCAGCAATGAGTAGGCTCGACCTACAGCTTCCACCAAGACTGTCTTGATTTAATAAACGTTTTACGACATTTGTTACACAATAAGGTCACATATAAGTGCCGAAGATTAGAATTGTTACAAGAGAGTAACAAACACAAAAAAGAAGGAGGAGAGATAAGGACGATAGATTTGTTTGATAGGAAACAACAGCAGCAAACCACACCCGAGCACCCGCCAATCACCTGCAATTTATGACTGTAGTAGTATATCTGACCACCATAACAACAAGTGTAAACAAACATCAGCTAATGGGACATAGTAAGGAATAGGGGTAGATTACATATGTGAAGCGTGCTGACAAAATGAGTTACTTCTCACTATCCACAAATGCAGATATTGGCCAAATATTGACACCAGGGTCAAATTTCTAGGTTTTCTATTGATGCAATATTCATTAAGTACTAAATGCCTTTAGTTATTTCATACTTACTAATTGTAAAACCTTAACTTATAAGCATGACATATCTATTTCAATAGGGCTCAAATCCGAGAAGTAACTCATTTTGTCAGCACACTTCACATATGGTAATGATGAATTAACAGAATAATTTACGGATTAAAAGAGACAATGAACATCAACAACAAAAAATCAACAAACGACTACCTCCAAAAGAATGGTAGGTTCGTAACCCTAACATTATTAAATTAGTATGCATATTTGTTGCTACGGCTGTCTCATTCCTTTCAGTTGGAACGAATCCAAAACTTAAAATAATTTTAACAACAGTACACAACAACAACAGCTACGACAACAACAACAACAACAACAACAATAACAACAATACCAACAAAAACAACAACAGGAACAGGAACAACAACAATAAAAGCAACAACAACAGCAATACCAACAAGAACAACAACAACAACAACAACAACAACACCAGTGACTTCAACAACAGCAATATCAACAATAAACAAAACATAATTTAAGATAAAGTTTGACTCACCATTTTGTCGAAGAATATCAGATACACCGCTCGAACAGTAATGGTCTCCTATTCGGATGTCCTGTCCACAAGTAAATGCAATATTGTATCTCTTTCCTCTTGTCTTGTCCACAGGTAAATGTAATTCTATTTCTCTCCTTTTACAACTCTAACACACGACTTGGGCTTGATATCAGCCTTCAGTACTACGTGTGGTATGATGTCAATCTACACTTAGTCAATGTCGCCACTGAAACATTTCATAATGCTATAAATAGGTGTGTCCAGTGATGACCTCCACCTTGATCTAGCCACTTCAACGACTTGATAGGGTTAACATACTACGTTCCATTCACAATGAGATGGGGAAAAAATAACCTGGAAAAATTCGTTTAATGATCACTTACTTCGCGCTGTCTAATCTACATCTACCTGTACTTCACCTCCACGTCAAAATGAAGATGGACAGGCAAGCTAACAGTCACGAAAAAAAAGAAATCAAAACAAGAGAAGCACACTCCTGTGTCGATAGAAGAACTCCTTCCTCCTCACTCGACTTCTCGTTCTTTCTCTCACTCACTCACTCACTTTCTCTCTCTCCCTCTCCCTCACAGGCGGGGCGGGAGAACAGGCGATGCACACACCACAATCATGGCCGATCGTGCGTTAACCCTCTTCGTTCGGCGCGCTGGTAGCAAAACGCTCAGCACGCGATAAAACTGCTAGGCTGCAAGGGCACCCGGCGGTCAGCGCTATGAAAGTCGTCTCCGCCTTGCGGAGGAAGCGATGATTGTTCAGAGTCTCGTTCTACATACCCACCCGTCTGTCCCCTCGCTTTCTCGCTCGCCCGCGCCCAGTCTGTCTAAATTCATGGGGTCGTTCTTCCTGCCCAGAGAGTGGAGAAATTAGGTGCCGCTGTGCTATTCAAACGGCGCCTCACGGCTGAAGAAAAATCTACATGGTTTGACGGACGTACTGGCCCATATTATAATAATACATACGAGCATGTGTATGACTGTAAATTACCGCTCAACAGCAAGCTGTACCCGTTTTACAATCCATATTATTACCTCCAGCAGACATTATCAAATGAGGTAGATCTAGAATTGGATGAAGCTCGTGAAGACCGTCGCTGATAAAAACATCTGAAGAGCTCTGGGGGAAAACAACGGTAGTCACAAACTGGAAATAGTGAGTGTGCCAATTTTAAAAGCTTGTGGGGTCATAATTTCATATTTATATATTGTTTGTTAAGTGTTGTTGAATGGGAAACCTAACAACAATAATCAACCAACAGTTGAACAGAAATACAGTTATGAGTCAACAAGCGTTCAAAATTGGTAACCTGCCCTAACGATTTTCAGTTTGTGACAACCGTCGTTTTTCCCCTGTAGCCTTCATTGGGTAAGAGAGAAATCGCTGCCTCAGAATTATAATGTTCTAGCAGCTCATTGCTTAGCTTTGATTTAGTAGAGGTTTTACGGCGCTTGCAACTGCATAAGGTCATATGAGCGCCGAGGGGTGGATGTCAACAGAGCAGTCCTTACAGGGAATCAGACTTACTCAGCTCAGCTCTCTAG